GGGATTTAGCTCAGCGGCATAAGCGCCTGCCTTGGAAGCAGGCAGTCGTGAGTTCGATCCCTGGTACCGATAAAAATGAGAAAGACAAAAAAAAAAAAAAAAAAGAAAATTTGTCTGTATTTTGCTCATGTCCAGAGACTGCCTGATACTAAGATTAAAAGCAGTGGACTAGTTAATCTGGCACAAGAAATTTCAAGGCAGTCTAATGTTGAAATAGGGGCATGGCTACTATTGGGGGCCTTCAGCCAGATCTATGTTGATAATAGAGAGCAAAAAGCCCAACTGAATGATTTACAATGTTTTGAATTCGGTGAGAAAGGAAGCTCTGGTAAAGTTGTGGTCTGCAAACACATAGCAGAGGAAAACTTAGTTGCAGAAAAGGAATAGGACAACAGAAAAGATGGCCTGTGGACATTACCCTTTGCAGCCTCAAAATTGCAAAGCTGAAATACTTTGTTTTGTGAAGAGAACACCAGAGCACCATGTTCCAGAAAGGAAGTGGCCTAGAAACTTTGTTCCTCTGGATTTGGTGCATAGCACTCAGCAATCCAGGCACTTGACCTCTAAAGCCAAGAAAGAAGAAAACTTGGCTACTGTTCCATCTGGCAGCAGACCTTGGTGTCATCTATATGTTTTAGGCACATGAAGAATGTCAAAATTGTGGGATCAGGAAGGTTTCCACACAAATTTCAGAAAAATGCCTGGGAGGTATCCCCTTCAGAGGGCAATGTGTGAAGCTGCAAGGGTGAAGTTGAAGGTACAGTGGAGGCCCCAGAAGGTTGGAGAAGCCAAGAACATAGATCCATCTGAGAAAAGTGGCCAGCAGTGAGCAAAGCCAGCCTAAGAAAGAAGCTGTGAGAATTGCAATCACTGGTGGTGCTATATAGGGACAGATCCATCCAAGCCCTTTTAGTGTTCACATCTTGCTACAGATTACCTTGGATGCTAGACATCGAAATATGAGACCTAATGTTTGCCCTGCTGGATTTTGAACTTGCATTGGTCCCATTCCTTTCTATCCTCTTATTTGTACGTTTTAGAATGGAAATATTTCTCTTGTGCATTCTATGTTGGAAGTACTTAATTAAGTTTCTTTACATTTGTATAGGGGCTTGCACCTAAGAATTTGCCTTAAATCTCAGAGGAGATCTTGGATTTGGATGTTTCATTAATGCTAAAACTGTTAGGTCTTTGGCAAGTTTTAGAGATGGGTTAAATGCCTTTTACATAAAGGTAAGAGCATGTATCTTTTGGGATTTCCCTCTACAGCCTCATGTACTGATAGGTAGAGCTTCTCAAAGCTGGCTCAATCTAGGGCATGTGATACTGACATTAAGGATGTGTGGTACAAGATTAGTTCACGGACTGGAATTAGCATGACTCTGGGAGTAGATAATGGAAATCCCACTCTGGGTATGGATGGCACCAGGCTTATATCCCAGATGGAATATGAAGGGAGGGAAGAGAAACAGGCTGCTGCTTGCTGCTTTGCTGCCTTCTTCTTCAAAGGCATTTAGCCCATGGCATGAACTGTTTCACCTTTGTGATGCCCCTTTGCCATGTCACATTGCCTTGGAGCTAACTGACTTGGACTGAAACCTCTACAAAGTTTGAGCCAAAATAAACCTTTTCTCCTTTAACTTGTAAGTGTTGTGTATTTTGTCTCAGCAATAAAAAAAAAAGTGACTAAGACACCATACTAGCTGACATCAGGAGATTCACACACCTTGCATAGGGTTGCACTGGGGTTGGGTACTCTTAAGAGTCCTGTAATACAACATGGCATTTAAAGGGTTGACACTTCAAGGAGGCCTGAATTGCTTTTCAGGATTCTGAGGAGGCCCCACCACATAGAGACCAGGGCCAAGTGTACCATAACCCACACTGCTTAAGCAGTGCCAGCTCCAGGGGATTCTCAGGGAGGGGACCTTGCATTAGTTTGACACATAAGTAAAAACACAAGCATAGAGTTAGCCAGGACTGTGAAAACAAAGACTGATGGACTGATGGTGAAGGGCTCCTTTTTTTGCACCTGGAGGATGGAGCCTGAGACCTTTACACTAAACTATATCCCCAGCCCTTTCTTACATTTGAGATAGGGTCTCAGTAAGTCACTAAACTGCCTAATCATTTTTAACTTGTAATCATCCTACCTTAGCCTCCCAAAGAGCTAAGATTACAGGTATACATGATCATGCTGGCCTCTGTCTAGCTTTTTTCTTTTCTTTTTTTTTTTTAAAGCGTTTTGAGACAGGATCTCACTATATTGTTCAGGCTGGCCTTGAATTCACTATGTAGGGCAGGCTGGCCTTGAACTCACAGGTTTCTTCCTGTTTCTGCCTCTTGGGTACTGGGATTACATGAATGCATCACCACATCCAGCTTCTACATGGTCTTTTTAATAGCAGTAAGTGCTGACTAGCTACTGAGTGCCTGTGTCACCTGAGACAAAACCTGGGGATGTGAGGACATTAAAACATTTCCAATTTTTAATAACAGAAGATGCTAGGCAAGAAATAGTTCAAATGCACCATGAAAGACAAAGTTAAACTCTCACCTCATATTTATGTCAAAATAAATTTGAGGTAGATTAAATTGTAAATATAAAGAAACTAAAGAAACAATATCTAGTAGACAAAAAGACACTTTATCTGGCTCCATGCTGCAGAGGACTATGCACAGAGTGATGAATAACTAGAAAAAAGGAAAAATTGTCAACATTTTTCCATAAAGTATGAAAACTTTGTGACTGTCAAAAACTGTCATAACAAAAATTAAAAAGCTGAGAAAATTGTGCAGCAGGCAGAGACAAGCAAAAAATTAGTATCTTTCATGTCAAGATTCATACTAAGGGCTGAGAAACCCACCCAGCATGGAGAGAGGCCAGATAGGTGCTGATTTCTGAAAGGGTACTGCAGCGTTAGCCCTGATGGATGAAGGGCACTTGTGTCCCCACCAGTCCTTGTCAGGCAGCTCCAAATCAGCATGCATCACTCTCTCACATGGCCTTCCAGTTCCCTTTTGTCAGGACCACTATCTTATAATCCCAGTTAGCAACTGGTTTTCCTGTTTGGCATACATTTCCTTGGCCAGACTGGGGCTCCTCAAGGACAGGGCTGGCTTGATGTGGCTGCAATGCCTGGGGTGTGGTGAGTGAGCATTGGGTGAGAGAAGGTGAATGTGGGGGTCACATGGGTGCTGCATTGGTCCCTATCTTAACTTTACTCCAAGGTCCCTCCCCATTTTCTTCCTTACTGTGGGCAAGGCCTTCCTCTAGGGCACTTTTGTTCTATTTGCCAGACTGTGAAATGGAGCCTAGCCCAGAACAGAGTGGTACAAGTGACAACACTTATTCTTTCAACATGCTGGCAAACATAAATGATCAGTCACCTGGCAGACAAGAATAATCGATCACATGAGTTGGGCAAAACAGAAAGAGAAGAGAAGAGGCTGAGAGAGGTCCAGAGAGAAGGAAGAGCAAAGACCAAGAACAGGAAGCATAAAAAGAGGAAGAAAGACAGGAAAGGAGCAAGCAACAGCAGAAAGAGTGGGTGACAATGGCCAGGTAGACTCAGACATGCTTAGCCTACCACTCTCTACTGCTGTTACCAGAGATGCATGTGATGTCTGGCTAACCTGACCTACTGGAGGTGTGGCAGCTTACAATGAAGTAAGAGGATAGGAGCCAGCCCCTCTTCCCATTGTTGTCCTCATATGGTGTCATCTATGCCACAAGTAATGCCATGTCTCAAGACCTGCATACTCTGGCCAGTAATTCCTGAACAAAACCTGAGTCTCTTTGTCCCAGAAGCCCCCACATGACTCAGTAGACTGACCATGGCCCTCCTACACAGCAGTCCACAACAGACAAGGCTCTCAACAGCTGACTGGGTCCAAAATCCTTGGGAACAGGCAAATAGGAGCAAGACCACCTGTTCTCTCCTAAATCCTATGATATAGGATAGTCAGGCATATAGAGGACTGGAGACTCCTGGGTCTGAGGCCACCACCTCCTCTCTAGTTTAGCACGAATAAGCCTGTACTCTAGGTGTCACAGAATTCGCTGGCTGGTGTTGGCTAAGCCTTCTAAGAGAGCACTCAATGGGGTTGCATGTAGACAACTAGCCGAGGACTGGGTATCTGTGCTAGAAGAACAACAGTAACCAGGGGTGTTCTTTGCAGTCCAACAGCAACCATTACAGTTGCTGTGACAGAGTGTCAGGTGCTATCAAAGTGTCCCTTTCATTTAGAGGATACAGGATGGCAAGACACAGGGACCACTCAGTCTCCAAACCTGTTACACCTCCCAGGAACCATATCTCTGCCACTGGAACTGGAGGCCATTGTTAACAGATGAACCCAAAACCCAGACTGCAGAGACTGCAGACCAGCAGAGGCATCCAGCTGTGATCTAAGTATTATGTGTTACCATTGTCTGTGTCTGTTTTTGCCCTACAAAGGCAGAGTGGTTTGGCTATGACAGACCATAATGTCTGCAAAACAAAATATCCATTACCAGGCTCTTTTACACAAAGCCTGTGGTGGTGCTTGGCCTCGGGTCATCAGCTGTGACCACCCAGAGACTCTACTCTCCCTGGGGCAGCCAGGAGCCACCCTGAACTGATTACCAAGCTGGCCAACACCAGACACCACCGTGGCTGGTGTCCAATCTAAGTGGATGGGGATCAGACACAGCTAAATGTCCAGCTCAACAATGACAGCAACCTGGTAGTCAGTCTCAGCATGAGCTTATCCTCAAGCCAATCATCAAACTGGTGGCTGTTGTCCACACACTAGCCACGCAGAGGTGGTGGGAGGCCCCATATCCAGCCCTGTTCAACCTGGAGGCTGTTTGTACCCAGGATAAAGCTGGCCAAAAGCATACACTGCCTGTGGCTTAGTTCACTCCCTATCAGCCACATTTGCCAGGCCCACCAGGACACTATGCTGCTGCCCTGTATGGGTAGACAATGTGCCCAAGCCAAGCCCAGCACACTTACCTTTTCTAGGGCAGATCAGGTTGTCCTTATGCCCATTCTTCGGGCTCCAGTTCCTGTATGGAAACCAGAGGGCAGGGTGTGAGGTTCCTTCTGGATTGAGATGCACTGGCCCAGATGATCCCCCTAACAGGATGCTTGCGATCATCCCTAACCCTGAGATCTTCCATAGTGCTGCTGACTCACAATCACACACTTGTGCACTTTCTTGGCCCCACAGATAACTAGGACGGCAATTTATATCAGGTCAGCTTCCCTTGTGCACATGCTGGTAAGAATTTAGCATTATGGTTGATGGTGACCTTTTCCCCAGAAGGCTGGGCCCATTTCATTCTGATAAATAGCACAAACAGAGGAATACCACACCAGGGGCAGTGGGCTCAGGGTCTCACTGGCCTGTGAAGTGGTCAGAGCTATCACGAGCAGGCCCTGTTCTCTCCACACTGCAGCCTACGCTTACCTTGAGAGATGCTGTCAGCCTCCCCTGAGGCTCCAGAGGCTAGCCCAGATCCTGTATCCTGGCTGCAGGAAGTTTACTGATGCCAAGGCTATGCCCAGGTGTGATCTGGGACCTGGCCCTCAACCCTGGGGTGCTCACAGTGTATGGGCCACATGAGGGACAAGATGGTGCCTATGCCTCATCCTGCCCACAACTCTACTACAGGAAAAAGGATCCATGCACTTCTTGCCTGGGTCAACATTCCATTTCATTACATCTAAGCCTAGGGTCATTGTCAGGGCATTTATATAAATGAAAATCAGGATGGTAGATGGGCAAGGAGGGATGGATCTCATATGGCCATCTAAGGGCAGATCCCCATAATGGAAGCTCTTTCCTTCTCCATTCTATGGTGCTTTCCAAATTGTTCTAAGCCTCTATCTAACCTTTCCTTTGTGAATGTGACCCCATGGATGTGTGTTCTTGTATCATACTCATTGTGCAGAAGGTCTTCAAATGATGGTGAGTATCTGGTCAGATGTGAGGGTGAGTAAGAGGTTAAAATGCTGAGGCTGGGGCTGGGGATTTAGCTCAGCGGCATAAGCACCTGCCTTGCAAGCAGGTGGTCATGAGTTCGATCGCTGGTACCAATTAAAAAATAAATAAATAAATGAAATTTTAAAAAAAGGAAAAAAAATGCTGAGGCCAAGGCAGAGAACTAAAGGCTCAAGCCAGATGTGTACCTACGTGTGTGTATGCATGTGCATGCAGATATATGTACACACCTAGGAGGGGCAGGCTTGGTTCAGGGCCACCAACTGACAATTCTTCCACAGTAGAAGAACTGCTGCTTTTACCCTTGAGGTGTCAGGTTCAGGAATCAGTACTTGCTCTGGATATGACATTTCTGGGACACCTTTGCTTTTAGCTTGAATGTTCACATAGACTTTGTCTCACATGACTGTTATCAGCTCTAATAGCCAATAGCTTCTTCCCAGGACTCACTACATGCCATGCCTTTTTGCCACAGCCTTGTGCCATTTGGTCTGCATACCAAGATCTCGCTCACTCCCACTAAGTCCCATAGGTAAGTATGACACAGTATTTTACAGATGGGGAAACTGAATCCAAGCCAAGCAGGGCTGGGGCCAGTATCTGAACTCAGGTTTTCCTGTCCCCAGGACCTTCACACTCCCTGTTCACTTGGGAATGCCAGGATTGCAAGGAGAATGTGTCTCCTAGCTTGCAGGGCTCCCCCACAAGGTGGCAAGGGCAAGGGAAAACCAAAGTCACTGAAAGAGCCAGGAGTGGTGATGCATGCATCACTTGGGAGACTGAGAAAGAAGGATTTCCAGAAGTTCAAGGTCAGCCTGAACTATACAGCAAGACCCTGTCTCACAAAACAACAAAAGGACTGTAAAAGCAGACAAGCTGTGGCCACCAGAGGGATGGGTCTCTGTTCTGAGTACTCTAATCACAGCATCTATAGTCACCCTGCCTGTTGGGAGCTCTGGGGGCAGAGTACTGAAGTACTGATAGAGGACAACAGCAATATGAAGGCAGATTTAGTGATGATTCATGATGGGGAACATGGACTATCCTTTCAATATCCTTTGAGGCTAGTTTGCAGGTTCAGGAGTCCCCACCTGGCCAAGGACCTAAAACCAGGAACTTCAAGTTCAAGGGAATGACTGTACCCCTTGTTAGGCTGCCTCCCCCAAACGACGAAGGCCTGTCATGGACCCCCAATTGGGAGTCCCCACCAAACTGTGTAGATCCTATTGAGCACTGGGCACCACCAGCCAGTACCTACATTCCACAAACATGTGCCTAGTCTTGGGAAGGTCTGGAGCTCTGATGTAGTCAGTGTCAGTGCCCCACCCAGAGGGCAGAGAAATCTCAGATGAGACATAAGCCTGGCCAATGCTCCAAGGGCCAGTCACACAACCAGACTAATGGGCTGTGGACATGAATATTGACTGCATGGGCTAGTCCCGACAGACACATATGGCAGGAATCAGATCCAGACTGGACATGTAAGATAGGCAGCTCAAGGCTCTTCACTGGCTGCAGCGTGGCTTCAGTAGGCTGTGGTGCTACATGGATCTCAAGTTCTGGTTTGTGAGCAGAAGTAGAATCCATGAAAGCAGCTGAAATGTGCCCTTACAGCAGTCAATATAGGCACGTGTACAAAACATCCCTGGGCCACTGGGCAGGAAAGTTTGTGCCATTCAATGACAATGGAATCCATCGCAGCAAAAGCAACATGCTCTTCTAGACAACTAAGACTCTGGGTCCATAGTGAGAATATACTCACTTCTGCTATGGACACTGAGGCACAGTTCATGTAAGAACCCACTATGGTGTCAGGATCAGCCTTAGGGAGGCCACCGAAACTCCAGGCAGGCACATCTGAAGAGGGCTTCACTTTCAGGGTCACACAGGAACAGGGCCCCATCCTTCACTGTCCTCATGGGGCCTGGGTTCCACTACTCTACCATGTGGCCCTCAGGTCTCCCTCAGGGTATAAGGAGCACTTCAGCACAGGGATTACTGGTTTCCCCACACCCTTGACAGGCAATCCAGAGGAGAAAGAGTACAGTCTCCCAGCAGAGGACCTGTGATAGGGTCCCAGTCCACAGGGACAGGCTGGGTGGAGCTGATCTTGCCAACCACAGCAGTCCTGGCTGCCCTCTGGTGGCCACATGGGGCTCCAAACTGTTTGGCTAAAGGCTGCTGACCCTAAGTGGGCAGAGGCAGTGAGAAGTCTGTCCTTGGTTCTATGGCAGAAGGGGAACATCTGCCAATCTGGCCCCATCTTTTCAACCTGAAATAAACCAATGCAGCCCTTAGCTAGCAAGGCTCACAAAAGGTTCCTGACCCCATGTCCGCCTAATTCTGGGTCTTAAACTTATATTAAAAAAAAACAAAAACAAAAACAAGCCTTCCTTATTCAGTAGGAGCCACTATTAAGGGAGTCTCCAGAATCTCCTGTGAACCAACCAGTGTGCCACACTGCTGTCCCCAGGACCTTTACACTTCATTCCTGGCCTGTTATGAAGAGTGGATCTGGACCCCTCCAGTATTGGGGCCATTTGGGGAACGATACAGATGTAAGGCTGGCAAGTACTGGCTTGCTGGAAATACTTGGCCTCTGCTGGCTTCTCCTGGAGTCAGGGGATCTTGTTGCTGCTGTCCTCACTCCAGGCTTGGGACAAAATGAACTTGGCCTAAATTTTTGTGACACAAATGGTGGAGCTACATCCCTATCCCCCTAGAAGCTGAGAAATGCCAAGGACCCCTGGGACTAGGAAAAGATCTAAGTGGTCACCTTTCTAGAGGCTTGGAAAATGAACATGGGGAACCAAGCATCCCAGATGTAGCTGGAGTAGGAGCAGCAACTCTGATCTAGTAGGATTAAGTGCTGGACTAGTTATGCAGGAGGGACCTTGGTCAGCAAGTCCTCATGTCTGTGCAGAAATGCTGGTGATGGTAGCTCAGCCAGGAAGAGCCAGGGGGGTCTGGTTTCACTATGCTCAGAATGACCATACTTGCCAGAGTTTATGCAGAGCAAACACTCCCTGCCTCGCCATGTACTGGGCCCTGGAGGACCCCAAACTTGGATTGAGTGTAGACTCAGGGGAATCAGGAATCAAGTAACTCAGGCAGGATGGAACAAGGCTAGGGGAGAAGTCCACTCCTTTCCAGATACCTAATGGTTGGGCCAACTGCTCAGGAATTGACTGGGCATGGCCCCAGCATGGTGTGGAAGAGAAGTCTGACTGCCCTTGGTGTCCACTACTGTCCCAGCTCCAAATATAGAATGACCACAAAGTAAGCAGCATCAATTCTAGATGAACCACATTTCTGCCCACAGCTTGGATCCTAGAGTGAGGCAGAGGGGCAATGCACTTCTTGCTGTTTGTACATGGGTAGGTCTCCCCGACAGATACCTTGTTTGACACCTCAACCATGGGTTTATAAATCTTGGCATCTGGGTGAAGTGTGGGTAACCACTTAGCTCTTGGCTGGCAACATTAAAAGGTAAGGCTGAAATTCACGTAGAGCATTTCTTTCCTTTCTGTAACTCCTAAATATGGCTGGATCTACAAGGAAAAAGGAGCCAGAATCCTCTACTTACATATTCAGTCTACCACTTGACAAATGATTAAACGTTGTGTACGCACAATTTAATTATTTAAAAACAATGACGGGAAAGCCAGGAAACTCAGGCTTCCTGCTCAACACAACTTCTCAGCACCTGAGCTAATAAGCACCTGTCAGTGTGGCCAAGACCGTGTTCAACCACGGGGTCGAAGGAGGCAACGTGGAGAGAACCAGATCGGGATCTCGGGCAAGGGTACGGCGGCTCCTCCCTCGCTTCAGAGCGTGCAAGTACAACAGCACGGCACTGGGACATACCCTTGGCCCCCGCTGTCCATCTGCGCTTCCCAGCCGCACGTCGCCCCAGGGAAGTTCCTTGGCCTCGCTGCCCCTGGGGCCCTTGGAAAGTTTCCGTGGCCGCTCGACCTCGCCTTTGAGGCGCCGTCGGCGGCAGTGGGGAGCATTAGGCTAAGGATCTGGGGAGCGCTCAGCAGGGCGCTCTGGACAGGTCTGCCAAAGCCCAGAGGCCGCGCACAAAGGGGCCCAGGGTCTCCAACGGCGTGGCGCCGGCGAGGCACGGGTGGAGTGAAGGTGGCTGCTGACCTCCGCTCTCGACCCCCGCCCGGATCTTGACTCTGGGCCCACGACGCTGTCCCTACTCCTATCGGGATGTCAACCCGTGGCCCCGCACTCAGACCCCACCCGAACCCGGGAGCTGACGTCGGTCTTCAACCCCCATCCCTTGCCTCCAGATCGGACCCCGCCCACCGGCCCAAGCTTACCTGGAGTGCAGCGTGGGCAGCACCGCAGCGCGGCCCCAGCCCTTAGACCGGCGTCCGCAGGTCCCTCGGCGCCAGGGTATTGGTATACCCAAGGCACCGCGCAGGTCGCAGGCTATAGAGCCGCAACTTGAGCTGGTGCGGGGGCGGACCCCTCCCTCCAGTGCTCAGAGCGCAGGGAACCAACCAACCTTCCCCGCCCCTCGTGTTGCCCGTGCGCAAAGCCGGCCTGGCCGGCGACGCTGCCCTCTGCCCCGCCCCATTCAACTGCGAATTTTGCCATTGGTTGAGAGACTAGGCGCGGCTCAGCAACCGGCGCCGATTGGGCAGGTGTGCAGAGACTATGGCTTACCATTGGGACAGGAAATGTCAGTCCTAGCCGACGACCGGCCCCCTGGCAGAGGGGCAGAGGCCCAAACACCTGCCTGGAACGCTGCAGCGGCTACCCGGGACTCTGAACTAACCTCCTCCAGGCCGCCTTCCAAGGACGTAGTCAGACCATTGGTTCCCGAGCAGGGGCCAGCACGGCCGGCAACCTTTCCCTGAACTCCGGCTGCGTAGTCTCCATCATCACTCTCATTTTGCAGGTATCCTCCAGCGCCTGCAGCTCGGATGCTGCGCGCCGATCTCTTCTGTCTGCATCTAATAGTTGTATTCACACAATCCACGAGGGAAGAGTTAAATTGTGACCCATTTTACAGATAGGAAATTGAGTCTTAGAGCGGTTCTCACTTGCTTTTGGTGGTCCGGACTTGAGCCCAGTCTTCCAACTTTAGAGTCTGGGGAACTCTCGTACTCTCAAGGCTCCAGGGTCGCTGCAGCAGGGGCAAGGTGGCGTCCTTGGCATAGGGAGGCCCTGTTGGAGTTGGGCTGCAATGCTTTTGAATGCAAGAAATGAATCCTCGGTAAACCTAGGGTTTACTTCTCCCATGAGGCCTGGATCTCCCCTTAGGATCCCGCAGGGCAACCCTGGGGTTGTCCTTTTTCATCTCTTGGTGGTATTCATACAATTGGCAGCCTAGAGGAGCTGTGTTTATCTTTCCCCTCCCAACATTGTTGTTTCCTAGGCTGAGGGCCATTGTAGTGCTTTGGCCTCCATCTGTTGTGATTAGCACAACTCATATTTCCCAGTCAGGTAAAGCCCCAAGCTCACCTCTTCAGTAATGCAGGACTGTGGCATAGAACCACGACCCTTGGCCAGCTCCACTGACCTTTATAGTGTGATAGGAAGCAGCAAGGTTGCTATCTAGTTGGGGCATATTCATGAGAGAGGGCAGGCTCATGTTTGGTTCTGAGCCTTCCTGCTTTGGACACCCTTGGAGGTGACCAGTTCCTGGACTTCTGCATTCTTCAAAGCCAAACTGCCCATGACAGTGCTAATGGGTGAGGGGTGTCTGGAGATGCATAGATCAGATATTCATGGCTCATCCATCTCTGTGCTTCATCCAGTTGTTGCTTGGTCAGAATAAAGAAAATACGATGGCTGGCAAGAACTCACTGCTAGTACTACCACTGGGTCTACATGTCTTCTGGAAGTCAGGGAAAATTAGTCCCAGCAGCATTTCAGAGCCAGACAGCTACTACTGATCCTTTGGAGTTGTTACTTGAAGTGAAAGCTATTTGATATCCTGGCATAGGGCTGTTGTTTTCAGCTCTAGAAGGGCAACATAAAGTACCCCTCCATAGAACACAGGAACCCCACAAAAAAGGTAGCTCTTGTTCTGTGGAGTAGCACTGTGGGTGACAGTCTAGCTCAGATGCTGTGTGGTGGTGATGGTAGGGTCTGTTTCTTTCACTTAGGACCAGATTTAATAAATTTTGGCTGTTGCCAGCATCTCTCCAAAGGTGTAAGACTTTGGTCCTCCTGGAACCCTTCTTCTAATAACCTCTTGGTTTGGCAGTTTCCCTCCTTCCCACTTTTGCTTATGGTGGCAAGAGGAGCTAGACAGATCTGCTGAAAGAGGAAAAAATAGAGACTTAAACATCAAAAATAAGTCTAATAAGTACTGCCTTCTCTCACCCTTGCCCCTATACCTTCCCCCATAGGGTTCTAGGGACCTCTCTGTTTAGGAAACAAATCTACAGCTACATAAGAGGATCAGGATGAATGGAGCCAACCCTAAAATGAGTCAAGGCAAATACCTAGTCATCTTCCAACCAGGATGCAGGTAAGAGTCAGAAACAGAAGCTGAAGATATCATAGGTGCCAGTGGCTCAGTGTCTTCCTTCTCACTTTCTCTGCTTACCTGCTGGCTAGTTCTGTAGGAACTAGGGAAAGTCACAGGAAGAAAAATGTTGCTGAATGTCAGGAAGAACTTCCTCACAGTTGCAGGTGTTTAGAGAATTCAAAAGGGTAGCCCCAAGAGATGGTAAGCTCCTTGTCTGCGGAAACTGGATGACAGTAATCCCCTTGCAGCCTGAGATACCAGGGCTCATGTGATCATGTTAAGCCCATGTCATCTGCTCTTGCACATACCCTAGCACCATATATTGTTCCATGATTGAGACAATAAGTCCATGATGGGAGAGAATGTTCCAGGTCTGTATGCTGTGCATGGTAGAATAGGATTTCTTTCTTTTTTTTTTTTGTCTTTTTGAAACAGGGTCTCACTATGTAGTTCAGGTTGGCCTTGTGCTCGCTTTGTAGCCCAGGCTGGCCTCCAACTTGCAAAATCCTCCTGCCTCAGCCTCCTGAGTGCTGGGATTACAGGTGTGCACCCGCACACCCAATTTAGAATAGGATTTGAATTACCATCCAATATGTTTCTGCAGCCCTCTTTTGTGGGTGATGGGAAAACCTGGACAAACCATATGCTGCTCTGAGGTTCATGGCCTGGTGCTTTGTGGGGAGATTGCTCTGCATTTGCTGCCTTTTACCTCAGGGCATAGTCACTCATCCCCAGGCTTCAGGACTTGCTTGTCTAAGAGCACTACTTCTTAGCTGTATAGACTCCATGGTCTGGCTACTCAGAGGTAGATGTTGGCAGTAGCCCAGCATTTGTGGTGTGGGCTGCAGGAGAGATAACCACCTCTGGATAGGTCTGCCACCTGCTGGCCACCTAGTCCCTAGGCATCTGGAGGACTTGGTTTTGTTGACTATAAAAAGTTTCTTCTGCTGGAGATTTAGCTCAGCAGCTTAAGTATCTTCCACGAAGGCGTGAGGTTGTGAGTTTAATCCCCCAAAACAAAACAAAAGGCTTCTTCTGTTGGGTTCTAGGAGGAAACACAAATAAGACAAAGTTGGGCACAATGGGCCTGTGGGTAGCTCTGGAGTAGACCTTTGCCTTTACCCCTTTAGGCTCCAGTTTTCTGCTGGGAATTAACTCCTCCAGTCAGGATCCAGGTGTGTAGGTCTTTAACCAAGGTCTGTGGAGCTAATCTAACCAGGGCCACTTACCACCTTTTTTTAATTTCAATTGAATGGAGTAACTCCTGAGTGTCAGTGTTCCTATCTGTAAAATAGGGTGAATGAGAACTGTGGCCCATGACACTGGGTTTAGGGCTCTTAGCAAATTAGTATTAACCTTAACTTGTCATTCTTGTCATAGTATATTTCACTTTGGGGCAAGCCCTAGGCCTCTTGATCTTTGACACTCCACCACTGCAATGCTCAGGCCCCAGGAACAGCCCAGAGCCTAATGGGGACAGGAAGCCCTAGCAAATTAATGCCTCTGTTCTACTAGGAGAACCCTACCTGCTCATCTAATGCACCTTGGATCTACTCAGCCCTCATTCTTGGGAAGTAGGCCCATGGAAAAACAGTCCCGGTGTGGGATTAAAGGGTACAGTAGCCCTGGGGTTAAACTGCCTGGTCTGGGGCCTGGGGTGCAGGGACATCAGGGGCCAGGGCTGCAGTGTGGATGGGGCCAGAGGCTAGAAGTCAACTGGACTGGGAGGGATCGAAGGAAGGGATGCTTACAACAGAGGATGGCTAGGGTCAGATGCAGGGGTTGGTTAGACAGGAAAGGGGTGCACAGTGAGCCTAAGGTGGGTGGGTCCAGAAGTGCACATTCCTGTAGCCTTACAAGGAGAGCAGCACGAAGGCTAGACGACAGATGGTGTCCGTGACGGCACAGGCTCAGGGACTGTTGCGATCTCCCGAGAATGGCTCTGCAGTTTGAGGAACAGCGGAGACTGAGAAGGCTGGGGGGGTCACGAGACGCCCAGACGCCAGTGCAGCTCAGACTTGGCGCAGCCCCGGAGGCGGGGAGTTGGGAGGGGCTACAGCCCGAGACCGACAACGCGCCCAACCAACAGGGTCCTGGGTCGCTGCGCGCGGCCTCTCTCTTTCCCGCCTAGCCCAATGGCGAGCGCCTTGGAGGCGGGCGGGGCGGGGCCTGGGCTAGCTGCTGCGGCGAGCGGGCGCGGCACCCGGAAGTCGGCTGCGGCGGAGGCGGTGAGTGCGCGGGTACCTTCCCGGGCTGTCGGACTTCGCTCTGGGTCCGGCCAGCCCAGACTTCGGGGTTTCGGGCTCCGGAAACGCACGCGGGGCCGATGCTCGCGGGCCGGACGGCCGGGCCTCACCTCTTCGCTCTGTCTCAGTTTCCCCTTTCCAAGGCGTAGCCTGAAAATCAGACGGCCTGTTTGGAACTCAGGCCTGTCCACGGAGACCAGACAGACCCTGTCCAACGAAGGCACCCCGGCGGTGCTGAAAAGCACCGTGATCACTGTCGGGACTGGTGGGAGGATCAGACTTGCTGCCGGGTGGCTAAGACGGGCGGGGAAAAGACATGCTTAACCATTGGAAGGTTGTAGGCTGTACTGTCAGCCAGCCTGAGGTACTACTCTGGAGCGCTTTCTGCTAGTCTGGATCCCTTTCCGCCAGTCTGGAGCCTTGTGGCCAGCGTCGTGACAGCTGACGTAGGTCTGAATAGACAGCAAGTGCTGGGTCATCCCTGTGACTGGATGCGACTTCCTGGAGCCGCTTGGATAGTCTGAGACCCCTATCCCTGCCTAGAGAGTGTATGGGCTGTGGGCTAGGCAGAGCTGCAACCGGGCCAGGTTGCCCCACTCCTGGGCTTTTATGAGCTTGGGGATTGCATGTTTTCCTCTTCGGCAGGAGGTACAGAGGGTCTCTTAATGAGATCATCTTCCCTGCCCCCAGCACTTCTGTGCTTTCTGCTGGGCCACAACTTTAGAATGAACCTTCTGCCCTTGGACAAGTCCCTGAGACTGAGGCCTCTTTTTTTAGTAGCATGTCACTTGCTTAGCATGATCCAGGCCTGTCAAGCCACTCTAGACCTAAAACTGCTGCTTTGTCACCATTCTGGGCTCAGAGCCATCTTCCAAAAGAGATAAGCATTTAACGAGCAACTGGATAGCCCTTTAGAACATGTCCCCACACTTGTTTATTGACCCCTGTGCAGGTACTCATTGGTCCAACTCTCTTCATTGTAAAGAAAACTCAGGTTAAGGGGCCAGGCAATGTTCCCAAGGTTGTTCAGGGCCAAGGTTAGATCAGTTCTGCTTCTGCTTCTCTGGTTGGTTCCTGGTTCCTTTCCCCAGTCTTCTGCATTAGGTGACCTGTTGAGTCGGATGGAGACAGCTGGGGAGGGTAGCTGTGTTGGTGGATGGACATGGCAGAGCT